ACTCCACCCGGAGTCTTTGGCTCAATAGCCTGACCCACAAGGCAGTGAGGGATTCGGAGGTTTGCTTGAGGGACTCCACCCGGAGCCTTTGGCTCAATAGCCTGACCCACAAGGCAGTGGGGAGCAGATCCAGCTCGGGAATGTGATTGCAGAGACAGATGGGGATCTGCTTGACGGCCGTCACACGCAGCCTTTGATGAAGGAGCACTTTGTTTGATTTATGGGCGGTAACCATATAGTAGACCAGTCCCAAAGCTTATCCAACGCCCGCTGAATAGCTCCGGAACCCCAAGGAACATCGACAATGTTCCACAGTTTCAGGTCATCAGCAAATAGCAGCGATGGTACCTCAAGCTCCGCGGGTAGGTCATTCACATAGATAGAGAACAGCAGCGGTCCAAGGACCGAGCCCTGCGGCACGCCAATGAGGACAGACTGCCTAAACGATAGGCCACGGCCTACCCATACACACTGTTCTCTATCCCCCAAGAAGGCAGTCACCCAATGAAGGGCGCGGCCAGATACCCCGTAGGAGGACAGCTTTTGCGCGAGCCTCAAATGTGGTACCTTGTCAAATGTCTTCGAAAAGCACGTCCAGCGCGTGGCCGTTATCCACTGCATACGCCCAACTTTCGCGAGCCACCAGTAGATTCGTCAGACACGAAAATCCTTTCCGGAATCCGTGTTGTACATTGCTAAGTAGATTAAATCTACTCAGATGACTCTCCAATGAATGTCTCACCACTTTCTCGAGGAGTTTGACTACTACACTCCTCAGACTAACTGGCCTGTAATTTGCAGACAGACCCCTGTCCCCATTTTTGAAGATGGGACAGATGACAGCTTCCTTCCATTAGGAAGGCAATGCACAGCTGTCAAGCGATTTCTGAAACACATTAGCGAACGGTCCACTTAGTTCCGCAGCCAACTCATGTAACGGTTTCCGGTGAATTAAATCAGGCCCAGAGGCCTTAGAAGGGTTCAGCCCTTGTAACAGCCTATGAACTTCCGTCTCCGCTACAATAAATTCAGATAGTTCTGAACACTCTGGGGTCCCGCAAACCAGCTCCACGCCTGTCAAAGAGGTTTCCCTTACAAACGCTGCCGCATATTGCCCACTGAGTACGCAGGCCTTGTCATAGTCCGTATGCGCATGAGTACCGTCATCACGCATCAATACTGGAATTGACATGTTCGAACCGCAGCGCATTTTGACATAAGCGAAGAATCTTTTTGGATTCTCTGAAGCTTCGTCCGTTAACGCTTTCTCGAAATTGAGCCGAGCATTCCTTAGGTGTTGCTTATATTTATTTCTAGCCTTACGGTACCTGTCATAAGTATCGATGGACGGAGCATCTCGGTAGGTCCGCCAACATCTAGACCTCTTTGTGAGCAAATGCCTGCCAGTGGGATCTATCCAGGGCGGCTGTGCTCGTGCTTCCTTTTTCATTGTGACTGGGATGAAGGGAGCAGAGACTTCTGTGAGATAGGACTTAAATTTATCCCAGGCAACCACGACAGTATTGTCGTCTAAGATTTCAAAATGGAAACCCGAAGCCTTGGCTTTCATTGATTGATAGTCTGCATGCCATATGTTCGGGCGAAACTCAACAGTACTCTGGTAGCGTCTAGACAGAGTAAAACTGAAGAGCAAACAAACATGATCACTGAAACCCAGTGGATGTCCGTAAGTAATGTCACCAACAAAATCGAGTGACTTAGCAAAGACAATATCTGAGATAGACGGTACTTGAGCGTCCATGTACTTAGTGGGACGGTCAATGAACTGATGCAAAGATACTTGGAGCGTAAGCTCAAGCAGATCAGCGCCGAATGTGCCTGACGCTGAGTCGCAAGAAAGATCTGCCCAGCAAACCTCTGGGCGCTTAAAGTCGCCCATCACCAAACACTTGTTTGCGGACTGGGAGCGGATGAAGTCAAATACCTCTTTGGATACGCTCCCAGGGCTTCTATACACAATTACAACTGTAGCCTGAGCCGAGGATGTGTTAATAACAGCCGACAGAGCTTCAACACCTTTGTCTGTCGACTGAAATAAGCAAGTCCTCAAAACGTCAAGTTGACAGCTCACATAAAGAGCGACGCCCCCTCCCTGTCGGCCAGCAGAGCGATCGCACCTAAATAGTGCGTAGCCAGGTAGATATACTTCACCATCCGTGATGTCCTGAGAAAGCCACGTTTGTGAATGCGAGTACATCGGGATGAGACCAATCTACAAGCAGACCTAACTCGTACACCTTATTCCTTAGGCTGCGCACATTACTTAACACTATCTGAAGGTATTCGTTAGATCCAGACCTGGGTCGTGCGCTATCAGAATGGGCAGTGGTACGGCGGAAAAAGACCGCCGGCTGACCACCCGAAAACCCACTAGCCGGAGACCCTGTTCACCGGCCGCTCGCCTACTTTTGAGGTCCTTGATGGCCTCCCTTAGCTACAGCCTATCGGCCAGCGGAAGGCCCAGCTGAACGCTAATATTTGTACCTTTCAGCTTAAATGCAAACCGCATGAGAGCGCTGCGTTCCTCCGGGGTAGAGAGTACCACACGAAGTAGCCGCGGTCGAGGGTTTGGTACGTTAACTGGGACATTCCCTAGTCTAATCAGCTTCCTGACAGTAACACCTGGAAAACCAGGCGGAAGAAGCTTCGTTACGCACATTTTAAACCATTGAAGGTCGTCTAACATGCGATCAGCAGGACAGCAGTAGATTCAGCCGCGTTACGGAATATAACGCTACTATCCGTGAAAGAATCGCCACGACGGGGTGTATTAACCCCACGGGTCTTTGATTCGATACTTGGGGCAGGTGGCTTCACCACTGGTGATGGGACTGTCTTTAGCCCCTCCGATGAGGCAGCAACGGCAGCGTTTTTCGCTCCATTGTCGATGCCATCCTTTTGTTAGGGACATCAATTTCACCGAAAGGCTTTATGGCAGATTTTGTCTGCTTTTTCTTCTTGATAACGGGAGCAGGGTCCCGTGAGGATTTTTCGCTTTGAGCAAAAGCAGGCAAACTTCCAGAACATGCCTTCCCGATGAGAACCGAGATTGCCGGCAACATTGGCTGACAAGTAGTGCGTGTTGGAATCTTCGCCTTCGCACAACCGTCAGACGGTTTGCCAAGTAACGATACTTGGCTTGTTTCCGGTGCCGATACAACTATAACTTCTTGTTTAGCAGAGAGCTTACGGGGTTTCCTGGCTCTCTTTCGCTTTACTCGAAGGGACCCTTGAACTAGCAATTCGGCATCGATCAGGGTAGCTTTAGATACGACGTCCGAAGCTGCTTCATTCTTGTGGTCGGTAGCCATCTGGACCGGTGACACAATGATTGGTGCCACAAGTTGATCATCAGTGTTGGCGACCAAATCTGCGTTGTTGGAGACCGGAAGCGTCTTCATGAGTAGATCAATCTTAAAACGAAGATGAGAGCATCGAGAACGAACGCTCTACATTTCGCAGCCGGGTATCAAGAGATTCGTCTGTCGTACGAAACGCCGCGCGGCCTTGCCGGCGGCTGCAGCAATTGGCACAACTGAAAAGCAACTTTTCGCTGGCGGCCAGCGCTGCGTACTGCTCGGTATTCAGGTCCGTACAAAGCTGATGGTACCATCGGTTGCAGACATCGCACTGCATACCGTCGGAATCGTCAGTTACTGGTATATCGCAGCTTGGACTGCCACAAAGTGCGATAACCTCAGAATCCAAGCCACCAGGAACTACAGTCTCGGTGCATTGCGAGACCGACATAGTGGAAAACAGAGTGGAATTATAACACGTACACAAAAGTTAAACGACCGCAATAAAGAAGGCAAAAAACTGTGTGCAAACTGGGATTAAAACTGGGAAAAACCGGAAAAGGTACCAGTAAGCGCCAAAGACACTTTGACCAGAACCGCTTTAATCGATCCAAGATAGTTTGGATCAGAGGAAATTTGACAATAGTCAAATTACGTTGCGTTTATTCAAACACTGTTTTCCACAACATTGTAGCTAAAAAGCTCGATCAGTATGGTACGCCAGAAAATCGAGTTACCGCGTAGAACTCACAGTACCTGAAGCCCCGCCGGTAGGTCATTCACAGATAGAGAACAGCAGCGTTCCAAGGACTGAACCCTGCGGCACACCACTGAGGACAGACTGCCTAAACGATAGGCCCCCGCCAACCCGTATACACTGTTCTCTAGCCCCCAAGAAGGCAGTCACCCCATGAAGGGCGCAGACACATTGGAACATTGTATTTGATGGGAATAAAAACCCGAGCTTTACATAACCCATAGGGTAAAAAGAGTTCGGGTCGGGTCTAATGAAAGGCCAAGCAACTTTATAGCGGGTTGGTCTTGCGTGTTAGCCGTATTTTCGTCGGGCTTATGCGGCAGTTAAACAGAATGCACGCCGGCTCAAAGCGTGACATCTCACCACGCCCTCCGAAACGGTTTGTAACGAAATTAGGTAGAATATAAAAAAGAAAGAAATTCCATCCAGTTGAAGGTAGTTATATTGGGGAATATCGAGGTGTAATTCGGCCAGATGACAGTCCAAGCGGGTCTTAAAGTCCGCCACAGTGGGTGCCAAGACTAAATCGGCAAGCAGAGCATTCCACGGTCGGCAGATTCGCAAAGCGAAGTAGTGTCGTCTGCAGTTCAGCCGACTGTGCTGATGTGTGAGCCTCATTGGGTGGTCACGTAGGTGGGAGCCCGATTGGTGCAGTGTGAGTAGGTGGAGACAGGGATGTCCAGGGTTGGATAAGATCATGAATACAAGGATCAGGTCACCCCGTAGATGTCGGTAGTTAAGCGATTAGAGGCCCAGGCACTGAAGTCGTTGTGGATAATCTAGGTGATCGAAACCTCGTAGGAAGTCAGCTTTTGTGCGAACCTCAAACGGGGTATCCTGTCAAATGCCTTCGAAAAGTTGATGAGAAGTACGTCCAGTGCGTGGCCGTTATTCAATGCATCCGCCCAACTTTCGCTAGCCACCAGCAGATTCGTCAGACACGAAAATCCCATACGAAGTATGTAAGGAACCGCAAATTGGCTGAAAATAGGCTGTGCGGTTTGATACAGCAAGCTGTGGTCTGATGAATATCTATTGAATGCTGAAAAGAAGATAGCGAAAGTTGGAACATTGTATTTAATGGGAATAAAAGCTGGAGCTTTACATGACCCATAGGGTAAAAAGAGTATGGGTCGGGTTTAATGAAAGGCCAAGCAACCTTATAGCGGGTTGGACTCGCGTGTTAGCCGTATCTTCATCGGGCTTATGTGGCATTTAAACAGAATGCACGCCGGCTCAAAGCGAGGCATCCCACCACGCCCTCCGAAACGGCTTTGGAAAGGAAGGTGGAAGAGAAAAAAAAGAAAGAAATTCCATCCAGTAGAATGTAGTTAAATTAGGGAATATCGCAGATCTACTTGAGCTTACGTCACAAGTACCATTGTATCAGCTCGTGGACCTCCCCACTAGGTACATGGACGCCCAACTCCCGTCTATTTTGGATCTAGTGTTTGCCAAGTCACTAGACTTTGTAGGGGACATCACTTACGGCTCTCCCTTAGGTGCTAGTGATCATGTTTGTTTATCGTTCAGGTGTAGTCTGACCAGGCGTCACCAGAGCATTGCTAAGCCATTTCCAAACATATGGGTGCTAACTATCAGGCAATGCGTACCAAGGCTGCTGGGATGCGTTGTGAAATCTCGGTGGTTGATACGGTTCAGGCGGCCTGGGATAAATTTAAATCTTATCTCACGGAAGTGTCTACTCCCTACATCCCGCTTGCGAGGAGAAAGGAGACACGGGCGCGGCCGCCGTGGATAGATACCACTGGCAAGCACCTGCTCCAGAAGCGTTCTAGGTGCTGGAGGACCTACCGTGCGGCTCCATCAACTAGCACCTATGCTAGGTACCGCGAGGCTAGAAATAGGTGTAAACAACACTTAAGGAAAGCTCGGCTGGTGTACGAAAAGGAATTGGCTGACGGAGCTTCGGAAAATCCGAAGAAGTTCTTCGCTTATGTTAAGAGACGCTGTGGTTCAACTTCGGTAATCCCAACTTTGATGAGGGCCGATGGAACTCGTGCGTATGCGGACTCAGATAAGGCTCGTGTACTTGGGGAACAGTATGCAGGGGCTTTTGTACGTGAGGCCGCGTTGACTAGCGTTGAATTTGTCCCCAGAGTACCTGATGGTTCTTATTTAGCTGAGTTTACTGTGGGGGAAACGCAAGTCCTTAAACTGCTGCAAGAACTGAACCCTTCCAAAGCAGCTGGACCTGATTCAATTCACCCGAAGCTTCTGCATGAGTTGGCGAGGGAACTAAGTGGACCGCTGATGATGGTGTTTCAGAAATCACTTGACACCTGTACATTACCTTCCGAATGGAAGGAGGCTGTCATCTGTCCTATCTTCAAAAATGGCGACAGGAGTCTGCCAGCCAATTATAGGCCAGTTAGTCTGACTAGCGTCGTGGTCAAACTGCTTGAAAAGCTGGTGAGAGATTCGTTGGAATGTCACCTGAATAGATTTAATCTGCTCAGCAGTGCACAACATGGACTCCGGAAGGGGTTTTCGTGTTTGACGAATTCGTTGGTTGCTCGTGAAGCTTGGGCCGAGGCAGTGGACAATGGCCACGTAGTGGATGTGCTTTTCGTAGACTTCTCGAAAGCATTTGATAAGGTACCCCACTTGAGGCTATCACATAAGCTGAGGTCCTACGGCGTATCTGGCCGCGCCCTTCACTGGGTATCTGCGTTTTTGCAGGGAAGAGAGCAGTGTGTACGTGTGGGTCGCAGCTTATCCTTTAAGCAAGCGGTCCTTAGCGGTGTCCCACAGGGGTCGGTCCTTGGACCGATGCTGTTCTCCATCTACGTAAACGATCTCCCTGGAGAGCTTGGGGTATCATCCTTATTGTTTGCTGATGATCTTAAGCTATGGAATGTTGTAAATGTTCCTGGGGGTGCTGAGGCCATACAGCGTGCACTGGACAGACTCTGGGACTGGTCTACTTTGTGGCTACTGCCCATAAATCAGGCTAAGTGTTCCGTCCTTCGTATAGGAGCAACTTTCCCGCCTTCGAGCTACGTACTCGGTGGGGTCGAACTCCCCCTTGTCTCCAACCAGATAGATCTAGGTGTCGTTCATTCCTCGTCTTTGCATTCTGGTGACAACTGGAAGAAGGCCGCTAGTAGGGGTTTCAGAATGTCATGGTTAATACGCCGTTCTTTCGGGGTCTTAACTGCCGACATATTTGTGAAGCTATTCTCAGCTTTCGTTCGGCCCCATCTGGAATACTGCGTCCAGGCTTGCGCGCCCTGCCTTGTTCGGGACAAAATGGAGCTTGAGAGGGTTTTGAGAGTAGGTACCAAATTGGTCGAGGGGTTACGGGGGCAATCGTACCCCGAGCGTCTACTTAGCTTGGGTATGTATTCAATGCACTACCGACGGCTTCGAGGAGACCTAATCCTTACTTACCGCATTTTAACAGGGAAGGTTGGCCCGGACTTGCGCTGGCTATTTAGCGCGGCTAGGTTGCCTTGTCTTCGCGGTCATCCCATGAAGCTACACAAGCCGCGTTCTGACGGGATCAGGGCGGAAACTCGGTTATCGCGTAGAGTTATCGAGCGCTGGAACTCGCTTCCAGAAAATGTAGTCAGTGAACCTACGGTTAAGGGTTTCGAGCGTCAGTTAGACGCTCTTGGGTGGCGACACGAAACCTTTCCCTTCTCCTGACCATATCCATCTTCAAACTTTCAGTTCTTATTCTGTCATTATCTTCACTCTTTGGTGTTATCCTTCATTTTAATGACTTTCATTCCCCTTTATCTTCCATTTACTTTCTACTTCTTTCTTACTTCACGTACCCTACACAGCGCGGACTGATAGTGCAGGGAACGTGGGCAGTAGTTGGTTGATCAGGGTGTGTTTCGGGTGTTTCGTTTTAGATCTATCAAGAACTAACGCCTTATCATTTCCTGGCTCAACGATTTGCTCAAGAAGGAACACTCAAGGGATTTTCCTATCGTTCCAGTCCATCTGAATCTGAATCGCGGTGTAGCTCGGCCAGATGACAGTCCAAGCGGGCCTTAAAGTCCGCCACAGTGGGTGCCAAGACTAAATCGGCCGGCAGAGCATTCCACGGTCGGCAGATGCGCAAAGAGAAGTAGTGTCGTCTGCAGTTCAGCCGACTGTGCTGATGTGTGAGCCTCAGTGGGTGGCCACGTAGGTGGGAGCCCGATTGGTGCAGTGTGAGTAGGTGGCGACAGA